CAACCATAGAGGTACCATCACCATCCTTCCTAAGCATACTATTTGCATCAATTGAAATAGGCTTAGGAGTGTTACCTAGGGGACATGAATTAGCCATGTGTCCCCTTTCCCGGCATGACTAGCAATTTCTCTTGGTTAAAGTCTTCTCTTCCTTGCTCTTGTATTATTTCTTATTGTCTTGCCTCTCATGAGTTGCTTGAGCCTTCTTCTCAAGCTTGGTAGGACACTTCGAGGCAAAGTGTCCCAAATCTTCATACTTGAAGCACTTGATGTGAGCATATACCTTCTTCTCTTCTTGATTTTTGCTCATTATCTTGGCATCTTGAATAAGCATTGGATGCCTTGCCTTTTCACCCCTTCTTTTCTTCTTCTTCTTCATCATCAAGTTACCTCATCTTCATGGTTGATCTTGATTTGCTCTTGGGGTGTCTTTTCTTACTCAACTTGTGGCTTTGGTTGAGGTTCTTCTTGTTGCTTCACCGCTTGCTTGGTTGGGCACATAGAGGTAAGATGACCCCATGTGTGGCACTTGAAGCACTTAACATGCTTGAGTCTCTCTTCTTATTTCTTCAACTTGAGCTTCTCAAGGTTGGGGCAACCCTTTTCAAGATGTCTCATTTCATGGCATTTGTAGCACATGGAATGAGAGAGCTTCTTTTGTAGTAACTTCTTCATCCTTCTTTCTCTTTTTCTCAACCCCTTGGATGTAGATAACATATTCTAGCTCTCTCTTGAGTGGAGGATGTCTTGTACCATGATGGAGGCTTCTGTTTCCTCACCTAGGGAGGCCACATTCATGTGTGCACACCGGTCTTCAACCATGGTGGAAACCTTGAAACTATATATGACTCAATATGCTTGTTCTAGAGAGGAGAGTGGCATAGACAGCCGGTGATGGGTCAATACCTAGTGAACTCTAGAAGCGTGCTCCACATGGTCATCGGATATGGTACTCACTTTGCTGGTTGGTTGCCAACAATCGAGTTCAAGGTATACAAGCTGATGGACAAGGATGGTGCCAATAAGGTTGAGTACACATGGAGTGAGTTGAAGACACTGGATGGTCGGATACTATTTGTTGGACAGGAATGTTCACAATTGTTTGAGATGGCCAAGTACATTGAGATGGGACTTGAAGAGGGGTGTACTTCATAGATGATGAGACTTCTATGATCCTATGATGTTGTTTTGTGGTGTTAATGACAGAAAATACCCGTGCAGTGATAATGAACATTGGTCAAAATGTGCAATTCCCAAGATTCAATGTTTGATAAATACATTAAAATTTTGAAACTATATTTCGTCTACTTTAGACTCTCCAACTGTGTTTTGGAACTAGTAGTTTCCTACTCTAGGTTCGATTGAGACATGTAATTATTAGTTTCCTACTTCCATATGTTTATTAAATGGAGGTTGCATTGAGGCGGACCTACTGTGTCTTTATGTGTTTTGTATTTACACATTTAGTATGTAGTTTTCTTCTTTAACATTTGCATTTAGGATCTCATTTTATGGCTATTGTTACTAACATGTGATATCTGAGAGTCTAATATGTCCCTTAGGCATGACCAGAATATATATAGAATTCCTCACGGGCCATATAGGCCTAGAATATATAAGGGCTATAGGCCTTGACATACTTAACACCCTGCTCAAACTCAAGGTGGAAGCGGAGGATCTAAAGCATTGAGTTTGAGAAAGTGAAATCGATGTTGCTGTCGAGTTTGTGCTTTAGTGAAAAAAAATCTGCCACTTGCAATTCAGAGGGCACACATTAAAGAGCAATTGCTTTCTCATGACAATGAAATAGAGTAAACGAGGCATCAACACCAATATGCTCTGTAAGCTCATGCTTCACGTGATCATTGGCAATTTGGATACAACTGCTTGCTTCTTGGACTTCCATGTAAGGAGAGAAGAGCCAAGAAGAATGTAATAGCCTGTCATAGAACAACGATCTATGGGATCACTAGCCCAGGTGGAGTCCGAGTATGCATAAAGATGAAGAGGACTATTGTGGGCATAGAATAAACACTGTGATGATGTCCCCCGTACATATCCGAGAACACAAAGCAAATGTCCATAATGGACTGAAGTAGGAGCAATCACAAATTGGCTCAGAATATGAGCTGCATGAGCAATATTAGGTCTGGTAACAGTGAGGTAAACAAGGCTACCTACAACATGTCAATATCGAGAGGGATCCTCAAAAGGTACACCATCAGTAGAGAGAAGCTGCAAGTGAAGATCCATAGGTGTTGCAGCTGTTCGAGTATCAGTAAGACCTAAACGAGCAAGAAGGTCTCATATGTATTTAGACTGGGAAAGATAACAACCTTCTGTAGAATGTGAAACCTCAATCCCTATGAAATAACTATGAGGTCCTAAACCAAACATCGGAAATTGCTTACCAAGTTGTTTCTTCATAGAGGAAATATGTTCCATATCATCTCTCGTAGTCAACATATCATCAACATATAAAAGAAGCAAAGTACGCCCACGTGGTGAAAATGAATAAATAATCCAGGATCATGTTCACTAGGTGAAAACCAGCAGCCCATATCACAAACGAAGCACTCTAACCAAGCATGAGGAGCTTGTTTCAGGCTATATAGCACGATAAAGGCAACAAACATAACCTGAAGGAGCATCGACACCTGGGGGTGGATGCATATAGACTTCCTCATTTAAATCACCATGAAGAAAAGCATTTTTAACATCCATTTGAGAGATAGTCCAAGTGGAAGTAGCCGCCACTACAATTAGAGTACGAATAGTGGCCATGTGTGCGGTAGGTGCAAATGTCTCTTCATAATACTGTCCCAGCGTCCCTGAGTCTGCTAAAATCCTCTTGTAACAAGGTGAGATTTGTATCTCTCAACAAAACTATCTAATTTGGTTTTAATCTTGAATACCCACTTACAAGTGATCGGTACAACATGTGACGATAATGGGACAAGTTCCCAAGTGCATGTACGATCAAGAGCAGCAAACTCTTCGGACATAGCAAGTTGCCATTCTAGAATACAAGAAGCTTCTTGATAAGAGGATGGCTCATCAATAATAGCACTCACACATGGAAACCCCAACTTGGCAGGAGGCTCAATAGTAGCATGATTCCATAGATTATACTGTGGACCAACATGTGTCTCATTAGAAGTAGCACACGACTCATCAGAATTAGTAGAATTATCAATATTGGGAGCGTTAGGACTGGTCGAGGAAGTAGGAATAGGAGGTTTGAGATGATGAGTGTAGACACGTGTAATGGGTGGGTGACGTGGTGGAGATGCAAGAAGGTTGGGTGGTGAATTATTAACAAGAGGCTGTGAAGGAGTGGGCAAGGGTGGAGAATCAAGGGTGCTTAAAGGAGGAGTAACATGAATGAGGGTACTAGAAGGTGACACACACTGTGGAGTGGTGTCATCACTGATGGAAATAGGAGAAAGGCACATAAAAGATGTGGACTCTGTAGGAGCACAAGATGACTTTGTAGAGGAGCTATAAAAGAAATGACGATCCTCAACAAAGTGACATCACGAGAGATATGTATGCGATGAGAAGAAAGATAGTAGCAACGATAACCCTTGTGTTCAGGACTATATTGATGTAAACGCGGCCCGATCTTCTGATAGGTATGACAACTTCGATTGGTGGATGACTCGACATTCATGATCTAGGCTTCGAACCAAGTCTGATTTGAACCCGCGTAAGTGTTACACCGCTGCTCCGTTGGTTATCAACCACGCACAACACAATTGACCTCGCCGAGAAGGCTTTTCTGCAAGTGAATCGAGAACACAAGCAAGAACAGGATGAACACAATCTAAAATTAGAAGTATGAATCAAGTGAGTTTGATAAGAGGTTCAAGTCTTGGGCCCCGTTTGGCAGAGCTCCCAGAGCTGATTCTCTGCTGAATCCAGCAGGAGCTCTACCAAATAGTTTTTTTAGAGAGAAGTAATTCTCTATTGATTCTGTGAAGTGATTCTCTGAAATGAACTAGGAGATTGAGAGCTAAAAAAGTAACTTCTCATAATTCTGTGAAGTGATTCTTTATCATAATTTTAAGAGTTTATGCTAAAGAATCAAAGAGAATAACTTTCAGCCACAGAATCACTTCTCTCAGAGAATCCGCTTCCTTAGAGAATCAGAATCAGATGGAGCTCTACCAAACAAGCCCTTGATTCGAAAGGACTACTCGACACATGCAAATAAGATCAAGAACATGGGCCCTAGTTCACAGCAGTCGATTTTGACGATACAAGTGCAGCGAACAATGTCTGTTTCACGAGGAAAACAAGAATGTACAAAACCCCAAACCCTAACGAGAGCGACAACGACTAGTTATAGAGTCATGGGCGTCCCCCCTAATAGGCTCTAACATGATACACGACCCAATGGACCACAAAACGGTGTCGCAACACCTGACAAGATTCTGGACGCTGACTTGTTTCGATAATTCCCGTTGACTCAGGACGAATTTGGACGTGAAGCCAAAATCATTGGTTAGCTTATCAAATTATCTTTCCATGCAATTATGGATCGTCGAAAATAGAGTATACACCCTACTCTCTCCGTCCCAAAATAAGTGACGCTATGGTATTCGTAACGGCCAAACTTTCTTAAGTTTGACTATATTTGTAGAAAATATTAGCAACATTTGTATTTCTATATAAGTTTATTATAAAAATAGATTTAGTATCTATCTAATGATACTAATTATATACTATAAGTATTAATATTGTTTTTCAAGGAACTATAAGTATTAATAATTTTTTTATACATTTAGTCAAATTAAAAACGTTTGACTCGGAAACGGAATGACACATATTTTTGACAGCAGATGCCGAGCACGGACAATGTAGCCCATAGCCCATCCGAAAGCCTTCTGCGTTGGCCGGTTGGCCCAAACAAAACTTTAGTCCGCTTCTCCACTGAGACCCCCGAGACCCGGTCAGTCCCCTCGCTGCCGACGCCACACAAACACCTTTCCCCCCTCATGTTCACCGGCGGTGCGGACGGCAACGGCCACCTGCGGCGGCCGCGCAGGCCGCGGCGCAGCGGAGTAGGCCACGCCGGCGTCGTGGGGTCTCCACAGGGACAGGTGGCTTCGGGGGCAAATCCGCACCCAGCCGCCCCGCCGTGCACCGACTACGACGTAGCCTACTTCAAGGCCTACTCACACATTGGCGTCCACGAGGAGATGCTCAAGGTTTTTACACCACATTCTTCTCACATTTCTAGCTTCTCCATGGGGGATAATTGGGCGGATGTGTTCCCTGATGCGTCAGCGGAGTTAGGGTTCTGTTTCGTTTAGCGCGTGCGGCAATTTGTGGATCGGATTCGTGGGATCGTCGTCGTCGAACTACGGGCGTCATCTAGGATTCCTTGTTGTTGTTGGGAGTTTTGTAGTGCTATCGTACAACGGTACAAGACTACAGAGTTGACTGCTGTTTAGTCTCGGATACATCCTGGAGATCATGCTAACTTGGTCAGTGTGCGCCTGAGAAATTTTGCAACAGTTTTATGGCAGGGGCGAAGCCAGGATAAGTCATCGCCGGGGTCAAGCGGTTGTACTTATATCCCGTTTAGTAGGGCTCGGCTCTAGCTCTTCATGCGCGCGAAGCAGCTTCTCTGGTAATGTTATAGCTGTTTTGAAACTGTTTGACAAAAACAGCTCCAGTGACTGTTTTGTAATGGTTTGTATTAGGTTTGTGAAGAGAATCCACTTTTTTTCATCTCTCGCTCTATAAAAAACGGCTCCGGTTCCTCCGGATGCCTTGCAAGGAGCCGCGACGAAGCCGGAGCCGAGCTCTGCCAAACGGGACCTATAGCTTGTATAATAGTATAATAAAATAACATGCATAACATAACCTAATAATCGATAAAATAACAAATGACATATCGTGACAAATCACAATGTACTTTGGTTGCTTATAAAATTAGTCGGTGGTCTAATAATCTTTTTTACATTGAGAATTTGCAAGCAGCCATACATAAAAATCACTAATTTTATTACTTTAACGTTTTGCTGGAATAAGAAACAGGAGAAAGTTTTTTAATCCAATACAAGCAACAAAATGACATGTTTGCCTACGATTATATATTAGACCATGCTATTGTACTCCCGTTTCACCTGGGCGTAAGATTCAAATAAATCTAAACTCTTGATTTTTGTCTTTTTAGAATACATGCAATAAATAAATAGGAGTAATTAAAATATTTTTCTTTTAGAAAGAACATCCCAGAAATCTTGGCGCTTAAGTCGATCCCTATGCCTCCGTCGCGTTCTGTTTCCTATTCAGCATTTTCCGTCTCAAGTCCAAGCCACCAGCGGCACATTCGCGGGCCCAAAGCTAGGCGCACAGACGCGAGAAGCCGAGAAGGCAAGAACGACATCAGAACATGACAAGGCAGGGGAAAGGCAAGGCCGACTCGGAGCGTTGGACAACCGGAGCGATCAGAGTAGAAGGGGATCAAATTGGACTACTACTGGGCCTGCTGCATGCGTTTTTGACTTGATCATTAGCTTGTCATTAGATGGGCTATCGGGCTGCCGGGGCCTTGAATATTTTTTTCCGGGGTCATAAGCGGTGAATGATCGCAGGGTACTGGACGTTAGCGCAAGGTCGTCGGGGTCGGCCGACCCCGACGCCATAACGTAGATTCGCCACTGTTTTATGGGACCATGTATACAAGATGTTTTCTTCTCGCGAGCCTGCAGATAGGCCATCTTTAACCTTGCGGGCAGGGTTTTATTGGTCGACCAGGGACCTTAGCTAGCATCTCTGACACAGAGTGCCACACATTTTCTGCTATATGCTTATCTGCCATAGACAGCCTAATGTGAGAAATGTTTCCTTGTTTTATGAACCGATAGCCCTACTTGTATTCCTCTTTGAGGTTTATATTTTATAGTTGATTCAAGTGAATATCATCATTTTGCTAATTCAGTACTGATTTTTAGGTTGCTGATTGCAGGATCATGTGAGAACTAGTACTTACAGAAATGCCATAATGCATCACAAAGATCTTATTTCAGGCAAGGTAATACTCGTTTAGCAATGTATAGTCTTGGGTAGGTGTTTTCCTGTATATGATATAGCTTTCTGTTCTGCTCAGTTAACTCTTGTGGTCTATGAAAATGATAACTTTCAGGTAGTTTTGGATGTGGGTTGTGGCACTGGTGTTCTTTCGATATTTTGTGCTTTCGCTGGTGCCACTCGTGTAAGTTTTTAGTTATTAGTTGCACACTTATGCATTTCTGATGATCTTATCAATGTAGGAAAACTGATGTTTTTTTAATCCCTCACTCTATAGATGCTACTATATTCCTCATATTTTCTGCTGTTGCTGATGCACCATCCATCCACATAAACCTCATCTACCTAAGAACCACTACCTTTGGGAATTGATACTTAGCAGGCAAACATTAATCAATATGCTGAATCCATATTCGTTTATTTGGTTTTTTACTGTATATTTGAAAAACACGTGCTAACTAAGAACTTGAGATTATATATTTTCTTGACATTATTATAAAGGCACTCTCTGTCATGCACACGATGATAGGTGGGATGGGCCAACATCAGTGTGAGAATCCGGTGGATAAACAATATTGTCTCTAAATCATTATTACGATTTAAGGGGCAGAACAGTTGATGCTCTCCAGTGCAACTGTTCTAAGAAACTAAACATCCTCTGTATACTCACTCCTATTTGCAGTATGACAATGAAATTATGAACATTCCAATAATTTCATTGTACTCTGGATTAACCTATTATAGTAATAGTTGGATACTTGACTTGAGAAATTGTGCATTTCATTCAGTTGGCTATAAAGCTGTGTGAATGCACTGATCATTTTATCTGTACCAGGATATATCTTGTGCTTGATATTACCAAATACTAGAAGCATCCATGTTTACTCTTTTATGATTTAAAATCGTATTTATCTTTGTTGCTGAGACATTTGACTTTTTTTGTTCTTTTTAAATGCATGAAGTATGTAGTGTGGTGCTACTAGTTCTTTTTGCATGGGTGCTGTAATTTGTTATTCAGTTATGTACTACAACATGTGATGCAATATTTACTGATATAGATGAATGATTTTATTTGTTTTTATTCTTTATTATTCATCTCCTTGAATGAGTTTATTATGTTCTCAGGTTTATGCAGTTGATGCAAGTGATATTGCATTGCAGGTAAACTCTTCTGACTCCCTATTTTCCCTTTCAGTTGGGATTGCCAATCTACAATCATGTTTTGCTGAGCCATAGTAGTTTTTTTGCTGCACAGATGTATTAACTTACGTTGTCAAATTGGAGAATAAACCTTGAATTGAAAAGGTCCATCCTCCCAGCCCTTCTTTATGCTTACTTAGGAACTCGCAAGAACTAAAAAATAATTATGCTTAGGGCAACAGTTTTTGTGTAGCTTGGTTGTCCCAGTAGGAAAGAGTGCCTCCTGTCAATGATAGTGAAATACAACATGGAGAGCATGCCTTTATGATCAAATAGTTTTGTTCTTAAAATGCTTTTTCCATTTTTTTCTGTATACTATCTGTAGTATTACTTCTGTATCTTATTATTAGCTTCTATAAGTTCTACTAATGTTGATGCTGAACATTCTTTTAAACTAAACAATTTTAGGCTATGGAGATTGTAAGAGAGAATGAGCTGTCTGACAAAGTTGTGGTTTTGCATGGCCGAATTGAGGTACACGCCTCTGTCAAATTTTTGCCATTTTGTCACTGTTTGCATATACCCAAATCTTTATTGTATTTTTGTGAGTTTTTCCCATACTTACCAGTTATAGCCAGTAATCACCATCCTTCAAATTCTATTTTGTTGTGGGTTTTATCAGTTATCACCATCCTTAAAATTCTATTGGGAGAATTATGTATTTGCCAATCAAAACAAATCAGTCTTCCGCATTTGGTACTAAAAATTTGAACTTTCTTATTTGGCACCAAGTTGAAATTTTCTTCCCTAGATAGCACCGTCATTCCATTTGGGCTAGTAACGGCGTCAAGTGGTCTGTAAAATGACATGAATGCCCTTCTTTGTAGCGTAAATACATGATGCCAAATAGGAAAATAATAGATGGACATGTTGTCAAATAAGAAAATTATAAATATCACAAATATATTGTGAACTAAAACATGGGATTTTGATAATAGAAGTCTGCAAATAAATAAATAATAAATTTCAAATTCTAAGGCAAGAGCAGGTCCCACTAGGGTAGGCTTAGCACGGGAGGATTTGTCCCGTCTAGTTAGCTTGGTCGAAAATTGTTTGATGCAGTTTAGCGGCTCGCTCATCTCGCTTTATCAGTTCTATATTCTTGTCGATCATCGCAAGACATGAAGACAACAACAAACAAATATTTCTCCACAAATGCTTAGAATAGTACAGTGTTTGAGCATCCGGGTGTCACACTAGCCAATCATCTAGAGTTCTCCATAATTAAACATCGGCATACAAGTACTCATGTTTCTCGCTCAATCACCAAAACTATGAATTACTCCATCTCGTCCCTAAATGTTTGTCGTCACGATTTGCGTGTCGATAACTTTGACTTCGATTTATAGAAAATACATATAATATTTCTATCTCCAAATATATTTATTAAAAAATTAAATTTAAATATCTATCCAATGATACTAATTATGTATGTATCATCCACGATCCATTTTGGGTTTGGGTCTCCATATGGGTGATCCATTGGAGACAGTCTCATAGCAACTTGCCGGAGCAGATCGAGAGAGGCACCGCCTCTCTGGTGGAGACGCGTGCCACCGGCCATTTGTGGAGGTGCCGCCAACACCACTCATGTCACGGGATGGCGGTCTATCCAAGATACGAAACCTCAAGCGGTTCATCCGCCGTCACGTGCTCCCCCGTGATCTCGACGGAAAAGCACACACTCCAGGGAATCAAACATCGAAATCACACACATTGAAACATATAAATATAAACCATTATAAGAAAAAAACATAGAAACATGGAATCAAGCATACAACCGCAAGTGGTCCTTGTAGTCGCTAGCCTAGAGGTGGCCGTCAAGGCACACGCCTGGGCTCCGCCACCAAGGTGACCATGCCGCCCGTGGTCTGCTTTCGCGTTAGGAGAGACGATGTGCTATTCAATCGAGGAACCGTGCTTGAGGGGGAAGGCGACTCCCATATCGCACGGAGTCGCGTCAACCAGAGGATGCGCCTTGACGAGCCACGAGAGATGAGCTCGATTCAAGGTAGAGGGCGACGAGGAGGCCGCAGCCACGGCGTGGACGCCAGCGGGGCCGGTGCCAACGTCGGTCGCTGCTTCCGCCCTTGACGCAGAGCATCCTCGCCGGTGGGGGGAGGGGCAACCGCTGCTGCCAGCTTGTGGTGGGGGAAGGGGTCGCCGCCGGCCGGTGGTGGTGGGGTAAGGCCGCCTTGTACCGATGTTAGTGGTGGGGGGGAGGGCCGCCGCCACGCCGGTGGGGAAGAGGGCTGCTGGCCGGCCGGGTGGTGGTGGGGAAGAGGCTCCGCGCTCCCCGCCGCCACCGGATCTGCAGAGGGCCCCGCCATGGCGGTCGGGGAGGTGAGGTGAGAAGGATGCGCCGAGATCCACCACCACATACCGCCAAGGAAGGGGATGGCGAGCCGCCATGAAGCCGCTCTTCTGTCAGCGCCATCGTCAAGCTTCCTCACCGGATGGGGAGATAGCCGCTGACACCGCCGCCACGCCGGCTGGCTGGCCGAGGAGGTCGCGCCGCCCCGCCACGCCGTGGGCTGGCCGGAAGGCCGGCCCCGCCATTGCGATCAAGGCCACTGCCTCAGCTCCGCCACGGGTGAGGTCGCCTCACCCAGGGCACGCTGCACAGGTGTTGGGCGCCATTGCCACAACATCCTCCGCTCCATCATCCTCTCCTCATTCCATCAACCTAGTGTTTGGTGTTTTTTTTTTCGGGGAAGAAGGTCACGGACTCACGGGAGACAGCAGCGCTCGGGAAGTCCAGGGAGAAATTGGATGCGTGAGTAACAGAGGGTATGTTGGTCACACTAAGAAAAAAAACGACACGGTCAAAATAGTCAACTAATGAGATGAATGGATGAAATGGACGGTAAAAGCCATATAGGAAGGAAATTTTAACTTGATGCCGATAAGAAAGTTCAAAATTTTAAGTACCAAATACGAAAGACTGATTTGTTTCAGTGCCAAATACATAATTATCTCAATTCTATTTTGAGGCCTTCACTGTGCTATGCAACATGATTGTCTTTGATTCAAATGCAGGATGTCAATATCGAAGAAAAAGTTGATGTCATCATATCTGAATGGATGGGCTACATGCTTCTGTATGAGGTATATATCAGTATCTCTATAGTTTGGACAGTTGGGCTAATTTTATGCTCACTTCACATCAGTGCTGTTCTTGAAATTTCATATTTAGTCCTCTTGGTGCAGAGTATGCTGGGAAGCATAATTTTTGCTAGGGATAAATGGCTTAAGCCAGGAGGTCTTATTCTTCCATCGCATGCATCGGTAGGAGTTTGATAAAAGCATTATATAACAGTTAACTAGTTGAGGTGGATTCGTAGAGTTTTGAGGCTGAGATGCAAGTCGTATTTCTGTTGCAGCTTTACATGGCATCTGTCACAAATTCTCAGAGATACCATGATAGTATTTACTTCTGGCGAGATGTATATGGCATAAAAAGTGAGTTGAATTCTCCCATTCTTAGCTGGCTTAGTTATTTGTTTGTCATATGCGTAACTCTGGCTGTAGTATTTCTCTGAGGGTAACCCTTTTTCTCTCCCTTTACTTCAGTGTCCTCTATGACGCCTCTTGCAAAACAATGTGCGTTTATGGAGCCATCAGTTGAGACAATTAGTGGAGAGAATGTCTTGACATGGCCAACAGTGGTGAGTCCCAATTATTTGTTCTGCCAGAAGCACATTTTCCTATCAGCTTGACATGCATTTTACACACACATCACTCAGGCTTCAGCATGTAATTCTTGTCTTAGTCCTATTTTCTAGCTCTGCATGTGTCACCTTATATTTTTTTTTCTGACTACAATTTACTTTGGTTCCTGGAGCAGGTTGCACAGGTGGATTGTTATACCATACAAGCTCAGGAGCTTGAAACCATCACTGCTGCATTTAAATTTACGTCAATGTTGCAAGGTACGTTGTACTAGTTCTTTCTCTTTTTTTTACACATATATGAAACAGGCATATCATATATGTATGATGGAAATAGATCATGATTCTATCGACTATCTACTAGATTTGCACAGCTGTTTTCCTCGACTGATAATTGATAAAGTGTACACATTGAGATGACCTGTCATAAACTCAGAATCATACCTTGTGCCTATATGTCAAGTTTAAGGCTTTTCCACTCTTGTTTGAAGTACATCCATTTCTTTTTATAGGTCATGTTAGATTCTGGGTGATTTTGGTGTTTATAGGCCTACACTAGTTTCAAAGCATGCATACGCTGCTTTGTTCCTGTTTTGCACTCGGTTGTTAACTGTAACTGAGGTTAGACATGCACGGTGGTGAGCGAGCTTTGCTCAGTGCATTCAGTTAAAGGGATGAGTATTAGTTGTAAGTTTTATTTCTCAACACTGAGAATGAGGATGGCACGCTACTTTTTCCATGTGTATCAATCCAGGATGTTTCTTAATTTCTGTGCCAAGGCTTAAGACACCCTACACTCTGAAATGTAGTACATCTTATATAGCCAATGTGATATTCCTATTGAAACTACTACAAATTTCCTAAAATAATATATAAGGGCTTATGGTAAAGCATAACTGCTATTTTTACCAGCACGATCAGGGATTTGTCTCTTGCTTGAGGCACTGTTGCTACAAGGTGATGATATTTAATAGTCTTGTACAAACCTGCATCAGTAGGCTGTTCAACTTTGGCCATTTATAGACAAATTTGGTTACATGAATGTTCTTTTATTCTTGTTTCTGAGGCTGTATGGGTGGGGCAGGGGTTCGGGGATTTTCTTGACCTGCGTGAGAAGGTTTTCTTTTTAATGCAATGGCCGGGGGCTGTCTTAACCCCTGCAGGTTGAGGGGTTTTTTTTCCTGAGGCTGGTATGATCAAATATATCCTATCTGAAGTCTGATCCCTTCTACAATAGCTATTTTGAAAATTTATATTTATAAAGCTCTAAGATTGAGGTAACCAGAAAAGCAGAATGACTATGCTGCCCTTCCATCAAGTGCTTTGGGAAGTTAGGATATTTTCTAATGCTTGAGCTGGAATGCAATCAACAAGAGCATTTGAGAGAAACATCCATACATGTGACTTATTTTGAGGTGACGCTAATAAATCCACCTCTTCTATGTAGCTCATTATGGAGATATATTAATCTCGCTTGTCTTATGATTTTGTGACTGCTTGCCCAGTTACAGGCCTGATTAGAGTTTAGTTTTTACCCATGATTGCTGGAATATAATGTGCTGCGTGTGGTGTTTGGACAAGCTTTTTACTCATGATCGCTAACTCCGCCTATGTTGTCTCAACATAGCAGGTCCCAAGCCCTGGTAAAGGAGGAGGGTTGTGATAGGCGTGGCGAGCCAACGTTAAATCTAGCCATTCTAATGGAGATGAAACCCGAAAGAAAAGATGAAAGCCGGACAGCAGTGAATCAGAAACTGGAGCTATGGCGGGAGACTTTGGAGTCCAAAGGTTTTAGACTTAGTAGAACTAAAACTGAGTATATGAGATGTGACTTCGGCACTACTACTCGGGAGGAGGAAGATATTAGTTTGGAAGGTCAAGTAGTGCATAGGAAGGATACCTTTCGATATTTAGAATCAATGCTACAGAGAGACGGGGATATTGATGTATTGATGAAGATGTTAGCCATAGAATCAAAGCAGGGTGGATGAAGTGGCGCCAAGCATCTGGTGTCCTATGTGACAAAAGGGTACCACAGAAGCTAAAAGGCAAGTTTTATAGGACGGCGATTAGACCTGCTATGTTGTATGGCGCAGAATGTTGGCATACAAAAAGACGACATGTTCAACAGATAAGTGTCGCGGAAATGCGTATGTTGCGTTGGATTTGCGGTCATACAAGAAGGGGACGAGTTCGGAACGATGATATACGTGATAGATTAGGGGTAGCACCAATTGAAGAAAAGCTTGTTCAACACCGGTTGAGATGGTTTGTACATGTCCAACGGAGACCTCCAGAGGCACCGGTGCGTAGTGGAATCCTAAGCCAGGATAGTAACATGAAGAGAGGCAGAGGAAGACCGAAGTTGACTTGGGTAGAGGCAATAAAATAAGACTTGAAAGGATGAAATATGCCCAAAGACTTAGGCTTAGATACGAGTGCTTGGAAAACAGCTATTCACGTGCCTGAACCTTGATTGCTTCTACTGGGTTTCAACTCTAGCCTATCCCAACTTGTTTGGGACTTAAAGACTTTGTTGTTGTTGTTGTGGTGGTGGTGGTGTTTGGTCTGATACAGGTATAGTTAAATTAATTAACACCCCGGTCAGAGCAATCGCGCTTTTGTTGCCACTGTCATGATCTAAACCGCTACTTTGTTTGGTCAGGCCTTCTTCTGCTGTCATGTCTTGGTTAACTGTTTTCTCATAGTGAACTCTGTTGAGTAGTCACGTTGCCATAAAACTTTTGCTAGTGATCGTCATTTGAAATTATATTGATTTAGCATGCTTGATCTTTGTTGAGATTGTGTTTATATCATGTACGTGTTACTTAGTGTAGATGGGAAAATAGTGCTAATTGTGTTCTCTCTATCTTGTGTTATTTTTTTAGCTCCATTGCATGGTTTTGCATTTTGGTTCGATGTTGAGTTCAATGGACCAGTACGCCAGAAATCCAAGAAGCAACCTAGTCAATCATCGGATGGGAACGCCCAAAATGCCAGCCCAAGCAGTAAGAAGAAAAAACCAGATGTCTCTATTGTTCTTTCAACTGCACCAGAGGATGCCCCTACTCACTGGCAGCAGGTGATTGTTTTCCACAGCAACATATTGATTTTCTTTTACATAAAGATATACTAGGTATGGTTCTGTTGAAATTTCTACACGATTACATTATTAACATCCACAATACTGATTCAGAATTGTTTTCTTATCAGACCCTACTGTACTTGTTTGAACCTATTGAACTAAACAAAGATCAGATCATAGAAGGTTCTGTTACCGTCTCCCAGAGCCAGCAACATGCTCGCTTCCTTAACATCTGCCTGAAATACTTGTGAGACTTCTTGTTCTGGTTTATTTCAGCTTTCTCATGTGTTTGGTCATTTTCAAGCTTGAATAACGCTGGATTTCAACCGTCCTTGCAGTACTGGCGACCAATGGTATGTCAAAGAATCTGTGATGCGATAATCTGGGGGAAACTGAAACATAGTAACCTTCTTTCTGAATGTCTCAAATCTGTTGTGTATGATGGACAACCTTGCTGCTGGTCATTGCGGTTTAGGAGCATTTTGACTGCACTGGGTTGTCGAGGTGCAAATTGATCAAAAAATGGAGTGCCATTTCGAGTGCAGCTTGATCAAAATGGTAGTGGGCCCCGACAAGTAATATGTGAATCTTTGGCTCCAAACTCAATTGATGAACAAAAAAACATAGGAGAACTACACGTTGACCAGAGTAGCACACTTTTCTTTTTTCATTCTTTTGACAAGGTACTAGTCCTGAGCTCAGTTGCTGGTACTCTATTTTTCATAATAGACTGCCCATTCTTTGTAATTGTGACGCTTCTGCGGCATGTAGTGCAGCATAGACGGTATGATTCTCCAAATGGCAGCATGGAATTTTTATGAGTGTAGTTTTCGAATTAGTAACATGCATGAATGGCCATGGTGCTTGTCAGTTTGTTTCAATTTGGCCATCGTACTTGGTAAGTATAAATCGCGGCCGTAAAGCTAACACGGCTACACCGATAAGGTCATTAGCTCCTTAATCATACGTATTTGATTTAAGTAGAAAAGGTTTCGTTGATGACAATGGACAAATCACAGCGTATACTCCATTCTTTTTTCATTTACGCTCACCTCGCCTTCATTTAGTATTCGTAACATCCCCAAGTATAACATCCTGCTTAAGAACTGTGGTTTTCATCTACAGCATTCCTCAGTATGCGTCACCTCCCCAAGTGTGATATCGTGCTTAAGTTTTTTCAATATGTGCTCCTATTTCATCCGTTTTTTGCTTATATTAAGTTGTTTTCGTTTCAACTAAATAATTGAGTTAGCTATGCAATACATGCGCCTGCGCTCGCTTTGGCTTATAAGCCATACTTTTTCAACCAACAAACAAAGATTTTTCTCTCACAACAAATCAGCTAATAGTAATTTCAGCCATTGCTTATCAGCCAAGCGAATATGGCACATATGTGTATTCTAGAAGCTAGAGAATTGCCGCTAAGAAAGTGTAGTGTGCTATAATTGCGGTAATGAATTAAATAATACTTTAAAAAGCTATAGCATACATGGCTAATGGTGCGGTGTGGCAAACTTACATAACCAAAATGGTAATGATCAGGGGAGGCCGTCCGTCCGATCGGACGCCACCTTCTTGGGCCTACGTGCTCCACCAAGCCTGCCTCCTCTTATGTCTCCCACATCTTTCTTTCTCTAAAAAATATATATCCACTTCCTCGCCCATCGCATGCTTCATGGCGCCGTGCTACCGTTCGTTCGCTCCACTTCGCATTTGCCCCCGCAGCCATCTCCTCGCATGCACGCCCCACCCTGTGCTATTCGCTTCTCGCTCACCCTCCTGTCAGACGCGCCCCACCCTGCGCCTCTCTCTCTTTTTTCCCAAGTAGTCCCAACCGCCCACTCGCTCATGGGGGTTGCCGGCGGGCGCACCGCCCGGCTTGCTTGGTGCTCGTGGTGCCGTCGCATGCCTTAGGTCGGGTCGGTCCCTAGTGAAAGCTCTAGTTTGTTTTTGGTGAATTGATAAAACCCTAAGTGCTAACCTAGTTTATCAAAGTGATTATGAGATAGGTAGCACTACTTCAAGTGATTAAGTATGTGAAGATCATGACATGATGATGGTGATGGCATGATGATGATAAAATGTTTGGACTTGAAAAAGGAGAAAAAAAACAAAAGGTTCAAGGCAAAGATGAAATTGATAGGAGCTTTTTAGTTTAGTGATTGAGACACTTAGAGAGTGTGATCACATTTAGGATCGATAGCCGTACTATTAAGAGGGGTGAAACTCGTATCGAAATGCGGTTATCAAAGGGCCACTGGATGCTCTAACTCATTGCACATGCATTTAGAATCTAGTGGAGTGCTAACACCCTTGAAAATATTTGTGAAAATATGCTAACACACATGCACAAAGGTGATACATATTGTGTTTAGCACTTGGGAGCAATGGTTCGAAACTTCACCTGTGGAGTGTCCGCCCGTAGAGTGCGGACAGTCCGACGGTGCCACTGGCGCCCTATACAGAAAAGATAGGGTTTCACAGAGTGCACCGGACGTTGGTCATGCAAAGGACTGGACACCGAGGTCCCTCAAGTCCGGTCGCTGGCGATCAAGCCAAAGTGAAGGCTACCTCGCCCTCGACCGGACGTGGCGATCGGACACAAAGCCGAACACTATTCAACGTCCGGTCGTGCTGATGTGGCGGCGCATAGAGGAGACAGTGAGTGATCGGACGCTGGGTGAGTCCGGTCGGTGATGACCGGACGCGTCCGATCGCGAGTGGAACGTTACTAGAAACGACCGGATGCTGGGGTACTACGTCCGGTCACTTTCAAGCAGCACGTCCGGTCACAACTTAAATGTACCGATGACCGTTGAGATCGGGCGATCAGCGTTTGAAGCAGGGGACACGTGGCGTGCATCGCGCGACCGGACGCTGGGGTCCTGCGTCCGGTTGATCTGACCAGCGCGTCAGGCCACCCCGATTTTTCAAAGAACAGAGAGCCAACGACTCTATTCGTGGGGGCTCTCTATTTAAGCCCCATGGCCGGCTCAAGCTCACTTTCTTGGCCATTTACATTGATATAGCAACCTTGTGAGCTTAGCCAAAGTCATTCCACTCATCTCCATCATTGATTCATCATCTTTGTGAGATTGGGAGAGAATCCTAGTGCATTGCTTGAGTGGTTGTATCTAGAGGCACTTGGTGTTCGTGTTTCGCTGCTGGATTCACTTGTTGCTCTTGGTGGTTGCCACCACCTAGATGGCTTGGTGCAGCGGAGGAGGATTGACACGAGTTGGTGATTGTTCGTGGCCATCTCCGGTGATTGTGAGGGGACTTATACCTTCCCTGGTGGAGTGCCGAAAGGTAACACTAGTGGATTGCTCATGTCATTGAGTTACCTCACTTGTGGGTAGGTTCTTGCGGTGTCCAATTGTGTGGACGAGGTTCGTGCAACACCTCTTAGCCGCCGAACCACCAAGTGTTGGTGGACACAACGGAGACGTAGCGTGTTGGCAAGCACGTGAACCTCGGGAGAAAATTGGTTGTCTCTTGGCCTTTGGTATTCTCTCGATGATTGATTTAGTATTCATCTTGTGATTGGTTCACTTCTCTACACTGCGGTATAATCACTCTACTCACTCATTTATATTCTCGCAAACTAGTTGTAGTAAGCTCTTTAGTGTAATTAGAATTGAGAGCTTGCTTTGTAGTTTGAGTTCATCTAGTGGAGCTCTTTAGTGTAGCAAGTGTGAGATCTCTTAGCGAGTAGTGACTTAGCAAATTGTGTGTCTAGTGATCATAGAAACTAGAATTGTTGGATAGGTGGCTTGCAACCCTTGTAGAGCTAGAGCAAGTTTGCATTTCGCCATTTGTTATACTAATCATATTGCTCTAGTTGGTTTGTAGATTTTAAAATAGGCTATTCACCCCCCTCTAGCCATATTAGGACCTTTCACCCAGCCGAGCCAAGGGCACCCATGAGCGCGGCCTATGCTAGTGGTGCTCGCTCCCTGTTGACGGTCATTAACATCAATTATAAACCATCAATATAACCTGCATATATATTTAATTCTATCACCAAACATAGGTCTAGGGGTTTAAACTAATAAATTCCATGAGTTTTGGTGAATCTGTGTTTTCAGCAGGGTTTATCCAGAAAACCGTTAAGGTGGACCTATTCGTCAAAGTAAATCACGTTTATCTGCAGTGAAACCAACGTGGGAATATTCTAGAACACTCCAGAAGGTAAACCACCGAGACCCACGTCCAGGGGCTGACATGTGGGGCCAGCCGGCCCCATCTATAGGCCGGCCAGCCTGTGGGACCCACGGGTCAGTCTCTCCTTCGAATCTTGGTTCTCCACCGCCTTGAAGATCACATCTATGTCGTTCTTTTAAGTCGGTATGATCCGAGGGTCCAGAATTGATGCTACCCCCTATATATAGCAGCCCCTACCCCCTTAAGCCATCCTAAAACCCTAATTCATATCCTTCTCAACAGGATCAGAGCCAGCTATCAAAAGAAGATTAGTCCTCCATATGATCTAGTCTTGTAACTAGAAATAGTGAGATAGAGAGTGAGAGAAGAGTTTGGAGGAAGTGCCGGCCTATCAGTTCTACTTGAGCTTGCTTCTGAGACATCTCTGGTAATCAACTTCTAATTCAAGTAAGCATCGTGTTTATATTGTTCTTTAGGTTTGTGACTCTTTTGAGTACTTTAATCTATTGATCATAGGTTAAAGTAGTATTCGTAGGGTAAGCATGGTGCTTAGACTCGATTACTCATGGTTGTACCCTACATTCTGGATCGGTGGTAGCTCGCGAGGGTGACTCTTATAGCCTCGTTGAATCATTTGTAGTCCACCTCCCGTTTGTAGGCCGAGCAAGACCTAGTTACTATAGGAAATATACTATGCCTGTGTTTTCCTTAGCAATATCCCCAGAATTGAACAATCGAAGACATAGCTTACCGAAGTTAGAACTAGAGAGCCTTAGTAGTCCTCTCTATGCTTCTGTTTATCTTAAGTCTTGTTGCTACTCCTGGTTAAGTTAGATTGTAGTTAATCTCACATGTTTCCCTGTAGATACGATACTTAGAATACTTTCGGGTGAAAGCTACAGCGGTATCCATGCGCTTACGGATTTATCTGTGTACGTTAATAAATACCAATAAGCTTTCTGGCGCCGTTGCTGGGGAAACAGTTGCTGAATTAACTACGAACCTAACTTAACTTTGTATATTTTTTTATTTGAACTTTTCTTTTAGCATGGATAACACTCCTATATATCAATATGCTAAACCTACGAGCGCACGCCTAGAGCCACCAAAATCTTCAAAGCCTATCCTAACACCTGGTTATGAGCTGCACCCGTGTTTAATAAAATTGATTCGAGAACAATCCTTCTCAGGAAAAGGCGATGAAAACCTATACTCACACCTATGGGAGTTTGAACAGACCTGTGCATGGTTGCATATCGCTGGCATGTCTGACGAGACCTTAAGATGAAAGTTATTTCCGTTCTCTTTGACGGGAAGAGCTAAGCGATGGTATAGACAAACCATAGGAAGTATGCTAGGAGATTGAGAAACGCTATGCTCTAAATTTTGTTTAGCCTTCTTTTCCATCTCTAAAGTCGTCCGCCTTTGATTTGAGGTTCTATCTTTTAAAAAAAAGAACAAGAATCTCTTGGCACGTCATTGGCTCATTTTAATGACCTCATCACCACTGGCCCTGACCTTGCCATTCAAGACCCTGTACTTCTTTAACATTTTTACATGGGTCTTAACAAGGATTTCAAGAATTTCCTTGATATGGCATCTAGAGGAGCTTTCCTTCATTTGTCTGCTAGTAAGGCAAGAAATATCCTTGACACAATTATTGGACGTATTCCCTACACTAACATTCATGATGAACTCCTCAAAGAAGAAAAGGAATCATCTCCCGTTCAAGAA